TTCTGCCACTCAACCATCCTCCGTAGCCGAAACTATCCATGAGCACTGAAGCTACACCCCCCAACCCCACCCCGCAGGTCGAGCTCGTGGGTTCGGGTTTAGGGTTTCCAGCCTTTTGGGCTCTTTAAGCAACTTGGACGTGATAAAGTAGACTTGGTCTGGCCTTTCTTTACTCCCCATTGTAGTTTCTTTTTTGAGCTTAACGGAATTCATATTTAGGATCCTATAATTATTAAGGCATCCCAACAAAAAAGGCACTACAATGGAGACTATCATATATATAGTCCTATCAAGGTAAACTGCAATAAAGCAACCCCTCCATTAAATGCCCTTTTGTGCTTACAAGAGCCATATAGAATTTAAAACATCTCCAAACCCTAAACTCCAAACCCCAAATCCCACAGAAGCCGCAGAAGCACCCTAAACCCAAACCCAAAACCATAAACCCTAAACCCAAAACCCAAAATCCCCCTCCTGGCGACTTCTACCAGTTCTCGGTGGACTTTCGAAGTCGCTCTTCGGATCAGATACTGCGGAGTTGGCCTCACGTAACAACGGAAATGGAACGTAATAGTTCGAATTGGCGTTTGGGGGTTTAGGGTTTTGGGCTTTGGGTTTAGGGGCCTTAATTTAATGATTAGAAGAGGGTTTCGGGGTATACTATACTAAACTAAGTAAGGAACCCCCCAAGTAGTATAGGTAATTATTTAGGCTTGTATATTAACGACGGAAATAGAACGCAATCCTGTGGCTCCAATTACTGTACCTGTTTTGAAGGCTATAAAGGGGCCATACCCATAGGCTCCATGGTGGTTCCTTTTTGGGATTACCTTATCGGACCCTAAATATGAACCACAAAAAAGAACTGCCATGGAGCCTATGGGTAACTTACTATTCTGGAGGGTGCAGGGTCGATTTGGGGTTACAGGTTGGGCTTAACTAGAGATGTCTAGAGTGGAGAAGCAGAAGGATTTCCTAGGTGGGTTCCGGCTTTAGATTTCATCCAAGGAGACATGACGGTTTAGAGCTTCATGGCTTGGTCCGAGATCCGCTTGACGAACCCTCCTAAACCCCCAACCCCCTAAACTTTTAAACTCTAAACCCTGGAACCCTAAACCCTAAAACCCTAAACCGAAACCTCAACGCTAAGCCTTGAAACCTGCACTCCCTAAACCCCGAAACCCAAGAGCGAAAAGCGCATAGGGGCCCTCATAATTTGAGGAGGGTCTTGCGGCACGTGATGGTCGAGTTAAAATAGGGACTCGAAAGATTATACTACTACTAAGTATTCGGACCTCTGCACATGAGGCGTTGGTTGGGTTCAGGAATCTATGGGGGGACGAGCTTAAGGGCTTTGGTGTTCAGGTCCACAGCTTTAAAGTTTAGGTGCAGTGCGTCCGGTACTTAACGGCTGGGGGATAGCTGGGGGCATTCGCGGCTAGGGGTGCCACAGGCGGGTCGGAACGGCGAGTCGTGACATACCCTTCTAATCCAAAAATAGCTTTAAATGCTCTGCAGTATATGGTCCCAATGTGAAACCCCTGTCAATCACCCGAAGACTCTGTAAACACAGGGGCCTTAATCCTTAGAGTTGGGATTTGGGGGGGTATATTAAACAGTATACTTTGAGTAAGAAACCCTCAGGAACGGTTGATTTGTAGGTATTTATTCAGACTTCTGTATGAAGCACTGAGGGCTCGGCTCGCTCTGCCGCTCCAAGAACTGGTCCACGCGGGCCTGCGGAAAGCTTTGCACGGTGGAGCTTTGGACCCAGAAGAGCCGATTATGGCCCTGGAGCTTACTTAAGGCTACGTAAGGTCTAGGGTTTATCCATAAGCTTCATGGTAGTTCCGTTTTGTGGTTCATATTTAGGGTCCGGCATGGTAATCCCCAAAAAGGAAGATGGCTCTGGAGTTGAAAGCTACCCCTAGGCTTCATTGTGATTCCTTTTGGGGGATTACCTTGTAGGATCCTAAATATGAGCCACCAAAAAGGAACTACCATGGAGCCTATGGGTAGGGTTAGGGTTTATGGGATGTTACTTACGGATTCGGCAAACCACCAAGCCTCGAAAACCCTCGCAACCCTAAACCCTAAACCTCTAAACCCCGAAACCCTGAACCCTAAACCCCTAAACCCTAAACCCTAAACCCCCAAACCCCAAACCTCCAACACCCCGCCTCCGCCGCAGGATTCTTCGAGCGGACGCGGCCCTGGCAAAGCGGTGGACTCTTCATTCGGGTTTAAGGGTTTACGGCTTAGGGTTTAGGGCCTAGGGTTTAGGGTTACAGGGCTATAGGGGTTTAGGGTTTAGGGGTGTAGGGTTTAGGGCTTAGGGGCTTAGGGCGTTTGCTAGCTCTTCCCTTGCAGCTGAGGCGGGAGTCGGGTTTAATAATTATCTGGGGGCTTATAAGGGTTTCAGAGTCAAAGGTTCATGGTTCAGTGCGCGTATGTGTGTGTGTGCGCGTGTGACGTAGAGTCTTTAAACCTCATAAAACTGCTCATGGAGTCGCTGAAGATACGAAATCCCTTCCCGCTAGTCGTCTGGACCGTAGGCAATGAAGGTAAATCTCTTCCGCATCTTCAACCTCATCGTCCTATCCACAATCACCATCACCCCGAGACACTACAAAGTACTTTTGGAGGGTCTTGAAGAATGTACAAAAAGCTAACTCTGTTTCGGAATTCCTGTCGGAATCAAAGCGCAATGTCAAATCGTCCAACACATGCAGGTCCAATGGCGTGGGATATGGATATACCTGACCTGTACACTGACCCGAAAACTAATCCAAAACCCAGTTTCTCTTCCTCTTCTTACTAAGTTGCTGCTACCACTACGACAACAACTACTACGACGACGACTACTGCCACTACTACCACCACCGCCGCCAAAACAACGAAGACGACTACAACTGCTGCTACAGCACCACCACCGCCACCGCCACCCCCACCGCCACCCTACCACCACAAACAACGACGTTGACGAAGTAGGAACAACAATCACATCTGAAAGACATCAACAATAAAGCCAAAAGTAACTCCAAGCGCAAAGAACTCCAAGCGAAAAGCTATCATGCAAACGAGCCATCTGTCAAGCAAGCACCCCGTGAACAAGCCATCATTGACGGCAGCTGTAACAATGCAGATGTAAATCCAACAGCAAGAGCAACAGCAAAGTAGCAGCACCTGCGGCAGCAGCTGTAACGACCGTGATAGAGTGGCAGCAGCAAGGCATACGGTGATATCCCAACCCAGAACTCATACCCTCTCGCCAGCTGCCGACTAATTATGATAGCAGGCTCCGCAATCACGAGACTCTTCACTGTATACAGCCTGCATAGCATGCATGCAGATGAACACACACACACACAAACAAACACACACACACACACACGCGCGCGCGAGTGATGGTGTCTACAAAAGCAGATGCGTCTGTGGATGGATGGAACGGATTGGGGGAGATGGATGGATGGATGGATGCACTAGGTGTCTCTGTCCCCTGTGTGTGTGTGTGCTCGTGCTCAACCCTAACCCTTAAACCCGACAACCCCAAGCCAAACCCTCAACCCTGAAGCCCTAAACCCTTAAACCCTTAAACCTAAACCCAAAATCTCTAAATAACCCTAAACCCTAATCCCCAAACCCTTTTTCTCTAAATAACCCTAAACCCAAATCCCTAAACGCTTTTTCTCTAAATAACCCTAAACCCTAATCCTTAAACCCTAAACCCTATCTCTCTAAGTAACCCTAAACCTTAATCCCTAAACCCTAAACCCTAATCCCTAAACCCCTTTTCTCTAAATAACCCTAATCCCTAATCCCTCAATCCTATGCTCAAGAACAGGTCGGGCGAACCGACTTACTGCTCCCCCGAGCAGGGCTCTGGGGATCGTCTGGAAGCTCCAGTTGCCCTGTGCATTTACGGGTTTAGGGTTTAGGGGTTGGGGTTTAGGGTTTAGGATTTAAGGGTTTAGGGCCTTTAGGGTT